TGGTTTCTTGGCAGTTCAGGAAACCAACAACCCCCTCTCCCCCGACTTTCCCTACTCTGAAAGTGAAGGATTAGCAGGAAGTTCCTGAGGCAGGAAGAGTGGAGCCAGAAGGGAGGTGTGAGAAGAGAGCGGGATCTAGTTCTGTTCTCACCGAGGAGTAAGTGAGGAAGGTGTGAGGGGTGACAACCGCTTTTAGCGTGGCCTTTCCCTGCGCTCCGTGAGCCTTCCACGGCAGCTCAGTCATCCTGGAAGACCTCCAGGGAAGGCAGAGCTTTCCTGGTACTTTGTTGGGGTCACTCCCTGCTTGGACTGGGGACAGGAGGAGAATGGAAGGGTGGGAATGTGAGCCGTAAGGGTTATTTTGAAGCTTTCACATTTTCAGAGGTATACTGGAAAGTCAGAAAACACTGGGAAAGAAATTGTAAAAAAAAAAAAACCCAAAAATGGAAAATGTGCATAAATTTGATAAAGAGGTTCAGTATTCTTTAATTTATCCAAGGGAAATTTTAAAGAAAAAGATTTAATGTGAGCTGTATATACAAACATGCATAAAAAAACTATGAAAAGTGGATCTTTCATATGAATGCCTAACACCTGAATTTCTATCAGATGAGATAAGTAAGATGGTCTTTTTTTTTAACCTGAAGGAAGATTACTATTAGAAAACAATACCCGTAGATGTTTGTTGATTTCTCCACCGGTTATCTTTAAATCACCATCTTGAAGGGTAAAGTTTTGGACATGTTTCACAGAGCAGATTTTTTTGGCAATTTAAATGTATTCATTTCTTTAGAGTAATGATTTACATTTTGTGAAACATACAAGTTCACCTATAACCGGAATTAAATATTTTCCCTTAAGATATGTTCATTGGTTGAGGAAGCTCCTGAATTCATGTCTGAGAAAGATGGGAGGAAATATTGTTCCACTCAATTCCTTAGATGGTCCAGTAACATCAAGTGTTCTGTCTCCCCATTTAAGTGCACACCATGTCTTATCTACAAAAAGTATAACGCTCTTTGAGAATCCAAGTGATTTTGTTACTCCACAGGTATTTATATCCCTCAACCCACTGCTTTAAATGTGGTTTATATGTTAAAAAGATTTTATGGGACCTCTGAAAGCTTTTGAAATTCCAAGACTTAGAATTATTCAGCTGTGAATGTTTAGGATAAAACCCCTATTTATGACTTATTATCACATGTTGTGTGAAGGTATTTGTTTTAAAACTGATTCTATAAGTGCATAATTACAACATTATTTGTTTATGTATTTGCTTTATTTCTTAATATACATCCAGATGGCAGTCTCTTGAAATCATGTTTGATATAACTAAGGATTATTAATTTGTCTAATTTCTGTATTTTGTTTTATCTCCCTTTTTGTGTGTGTTAAAAAAAAATAAAATTCATCTGTTTATTGTTGTTTTAGAATGAATTATCTTAAAAATTACACAATTTCCCATTCAGAGATTTTCATGTGGATTTTAAACTGAAAGGGTTGTTCTGTGTTTTCTTCTATGTCTCACTCTCTGTAAGATTTAAATCAGTACATATTATAAATTACAATCATATAGGTATTGGCAACTCCTTCTCTTCCAAATAATTTTGACTGGAGAGAGAAATCAGTATAACGTTTATAATAAAATTGTAAAAGAACTACTTCTGCATGAAAAATTGTTTGACCATGGTTTCAGAACTGGTTAACATATAATAATGAAGATTCTCTTTCAATCAATATCTAAGCAAAAATTTTCATAATCTTAGGGCTCATGGAAATAAGTGAGTTAGCTATCAAGTACATAATCATATTTCCATAAGTTACTCCTAAAATCCAAAAGCTAGAGACTGGATTTATGATCCAGTTTATGTGTGAATATGTCGTAGACTTGTAATTAGGGGATTAAACCAAAACCAGTTTGAATGCCAGAATCTATGCACAGGAAGAAGGTGGAATTATTTTGCCTAAATCCAAAGCAATGCATCTGGGCATGTCTACTCAAATATAAAATTCTTTTTGAAAACTTCACATGAAGCCTTTTAATTTGTAACTAGATGAGGAATCAACAGTAAGAAAAAGGTCCACTGAGCACCAGATCCAGATTCCACCTAGCCGAGACTTTGTGGTCCAGTACACTTTGTTTTGAACAGCAGGCCAGAAAAAAAAGTAAAATAATAAAAAAAAATGCAGTACTCAAGAAGAGTTTATACCTTGATGTTTAGGGCATGTTTGAGGTAGAGGGCAGCTGTGGTTTAGAATTCTCCCTTACAGAGACGCAGTTGCTGACCCTCACTATGGAACTATTGATTCAAAAGAGTGCATTGTCTGGCGTTTTGTTGACTATCCTTCAAACACCAAAGAAGGATGTGAGACCCTTGAAAAAAGGGGTCTTTCTGCCCATTTTCAAAAGAGAGTTCTGAACTCTGGATAGCAAGTGGATAATGCTATATTTTGCACCAAAAATTTACTCATCTTGCTCTTTTTGACTAGTTATCTGACTGGAGTTGTTTTGGATCCCTCCCTTTATCTCTCCCTTTGCTCCATGTGCCTTATTGGAAATGCTGGGTTCCACTCTAGGGGATGACTTCATCACACATCATGTAGCTTTTAGACTACAAAAGCCTTTCTGAATGACACGAGGAAGGATCTTGAGTAAGATTTCATGAAGGAATATGTATGGCATGTTGCTGAATAAATTTAATCCTGAGGTACACCAGGTATGTATGCAAAACCAGGTAACAATAGGACATCTTCTTAAATACAGGACCTGCTGTATAATTAGAAGCAAAAGAGCTGCTGATAATGTAAGCTATTTTGCAAGCTTAGTAAAGGTAGGAGAATAGACCTGACAGAAACCCGCCTATTCGTTTTTTTATCATTGTCATTCTTCTCTGTGCTAAAATCACATTATATTCATTCAGAGATTCCTATACTCTTATTTTCTTACCTTTTTTTACCTGCTCAGAATTTCAGATTTTTTTTATTTACCCAGTATTTTGCTTAATCCAGGCTAATTATCACATAAAGGGTAGCAGGATTCTCAAACCAGTACCTGCTAATCTCATTAAACAGGGCTCTGGTTTTTCAGCCCCTTTTCTTAGCACACAAAATGAAACACTACGTGATGATTCGAATGGTAACTCTGCAAGAAAAACAACAGCTGAAGTGCTACATTTTTGGATGCAATTCTGGAGAATCTGCTTTATTTGAGCAGTTGAGAGAGACAATATGGTTTCCATGAAGAAATACGTTTCACCTCCAGTAACCGGAAGCCCAAGCAATGCATATATTTCTATCTCCAGGAGAGCGATCTTGATCTCATGGTGGTTGCAAATATTGGATTCCTCTTTTCAGGGTAATGATACTTCCCATCCTGTGATTCCTTACAGCTCAAAGGTTCCCCAAAGTACTGTGTGGTTCACATGCATCCTAAACTACTATTATTAAATTCCTTTGCAGGAAGAACAAATTCCTTTGCACTTCACTAAAAGGCAAGAGGATGACTGTTTCACATAAAATGGTCAACTCTGATGAAAAAGACCGCTTTTGGTACTTGAAGTCACATATGCTGTCTAGGTAATGTGATAAGGAGCCTGAACAATTGTTATGAATCTCTGTTATTAATCCAGTTCTCAGTATCACAAAATAGATGCTCACATTATTAAGCAGATAAGTGCAAACACAAGTAATCTGTTCAACTAAGAATCTGTTCAGATTGCAGATCTCTCCTGGGAACCAGCAGTTCCTGAACTCAACTAAATAAGTAAAAGTTGCTGAACATTCGATACATTTTTGAAGAGCTCTTACTACAGATGAACTATGGATCACTGATGACTTAAATAATAGAGCACAATAAAGTGGAGTATTCCTAGGCCTTGACGTCCCTAGGCCTGCTGGGACTGCATTTGTTTATGGGCCCAAAAATAGTATTTTGTGACTCGTCTCATGTGACCTATTCAGCTACCAAGATTTTCATCCAAAAATGTTTTGTTTTGTTTTGTTTTTTTCCTTCAGTAGAGAGGAATTTCCCTTTATGTCTCATCTAATTGCTATTAGATATATCTGTGTGTCACTAATGGTTTATGATGGCTCCATCCAGAGAAAACTTTCTTGATTGATCAAAGATATAATTCTTCTTATGACTACTCCATCTGCACATGAATATTGTATCAGCCCATTTCACAAACTCTATCATGTTCAAACTCTTTTCTATATCTTCAATGACTGATCTGAGAGAAGAGGAAAATATTTTTTAAAAAAACCCTTTGTACTACCAGGCAATGTCTGGTTTTCATTTTTCCTGCATTTTTTTCCTGTGAAAAAGATTATTTCATTAAAATCATTTTCTCACAGTAACAACCTACAATTTATTCAAGAACAACAGTAATTCAATGTGTTACAGTCCTGTCAGTTGGGCTCTCTGATTCACAGTTTGTACAAGAAATTTGTTTCCTGTGCAAACAAATTACAACAAAAAGCAAGACAAAAACTGAAGGGACCCGCAGAGAGTTGCTGTGAGGTCAGAGATAGATGCTAGCAGCATTTCACACAATATTCTGAATATGCCCAGTTGGAAGGGACCCACAAGGATCATAAAGTCCAACTCAGCCCTGCACAGGACCATCCCCAAGAGTCACATCATGTGCCTGAGAGTATCATCCAAACACTCCTTGGGCTCTGTCAGGCTTGGTGCTGTGACCACTGCCCTGGGGAGCCTGTTCAGTGCCCACCCACCCCCTGGGGGAAGAACCTTTCCCCAACACCCAACCCATACCTCCTCTGACACAAACTCACGCCATTCCCTCAGGTCATGTCACTGGTCACACAGAGCAGAGCTCGGTGCCTGTCCCTCCTCTGGCCCTCCCAGGGAAGTTGTGGCTTCAATGAGGTCTCCCCTCAGCCTCCTCCTCTCCAGCTGAACACACCGAGTGCCCTCAGCTGCTCCTCACATGGTTTCAAATCAAGGCCCTTCACCATCTCCATTGCCCTCCTTGGGACACTCTCTAATGGCTCAATATCTTTTCTACATTGTGGTGCCCTAAACCACCCCAACATTCCAGGTGAGGACACTCCAGGTCAGAGCAGAGCGGGACAATCCCCTCCCTGTCCTGGCTGGCCATGCTGTGCCTGATGCCCTCAGGACACGGTTGTCCCTCCTGGCTGCCAGGGCACTGCTGACTCATGGCCAACTGGCCACCTACCAGGACACCCAGGACCCTTTTCCTGTACTACTTTCCAGCACCTCATTCCCCAGTCTGTTCACACATCCAGGGTTGTCCCATCCCATGTGCAGAATCTGGCACTTTTCACTATTGAGCTAAACTGAGATTTCCTAAGCTTAATCCTGTTTCTGCACAGTGCAACAAACCCTACTCTACACAAAGCTAATAGGAAAGATTTCTGTTTCAAAGAAAGTAGAACACTTTGACAATATCCTGACATTTACGGGTGCTGGCTAACAGATGGTTGTCATCTATGAAAGTCCAGGCACTCTTGTACACATCTATGCCAACTGTAAGTATGAGAAAATTTGGGGTTTTTGTGTTTCTCTCTATGTACACAATAATTTACAGTAAATGAAGGTACTGTGTTTGCTCAGAAATCTGGGCTAAATTGTCCCTTGTGAACAGTCACACTGTATTTAAATTTAGACACCTCTTTTCTGTGTGGTCCTAGTGCATGCTGCTTATGAATTTCCTTGAGATTCCTTTCAGTTTTCTCCCAGAATAGTCTGTGCACTAGTAGGTAAATGAAAATCTAGTGGTCTTCTCCAAGTAGTGATTAATCGTTTCTAGAAATGAGCTTCCTTGGCCCCAGTGATATAGCTGACCTGACCTGACCTGTTGATTACCTATAAGTGTGATATCAGCAGCAGCAAAGGAAGACAAAACATGATTTGTGTTTAGATGCACAAACAAACAAGACAACCTGAGTTCTGCTGCTCTTTTTTCCTTTACCAGAGGAAGGTACTTGATTTCTACATTGTTCTGAAGAAAGATGATAGTTACACAATGCTCTCCTTGCCTTGAATATAAAAATGCCTGCTCTTCAAAAAACTCTTATCAACCTCTATGCATGCCTTTGCTACAGGAGATCTGTACTGTCTTTCAAGAGACAGATGGAGAAAGCTGGGATTGAGAATTTAATTCCATAGGAACAAATGAATGAAGGTATGTTGTGTTCTAAAATGATAACCCATTGCTGTTAAGTGGAAATGGAAAGGTATCAGATAGTACTGAGTAGGTCATAGAATCATAGAATCATAGAATCATGGAATAGATTGGGTTGGAAAAGACCTCCAAGATCATCGAGTACAACCCCTGATCCAACTCCAATTACTATATCATGGCACTAAGGGCCACATCCAATCTCTTTTTAAAAACTTCCAGGGATGGTGAATCCACCACCTCTCTGGCAGACCGTTCCAATGCCTGATTACCCTCTCTGTAAAGAATTTCTTCCTAACATCTAACCTAAACCTCCCCTGGCAGAGCTTGAGCCCATGTCCTCTTGTCCTATTGTTGGTTGCCTGGGAGAAGAGACCAACCCCC